GATCTCTACTGACTTACTGGCCAGGCACAGGAGCAAGTAGCACTCATAATTCCAGCTACTCAGGAGGCTGAGGCTGGGGGGATCAAAATTTTGAGGCCAGAGTGCTCAACATAGTAACGCCAAGTCCCAAAATAAAAAATAAAAAGGGCTGGTAAGGTGGCTCGGTAGTAGAACACTTGACTACTAGGTGATAGGCCCTGGGTTCAATTCCCAGTACTGGAGAAAAAACAAAGAGGATTTATGTGTGCTGGAATTTTGTCCCTTATTTTTCACCTCTCCACTTGCACCATGTGCACCAACCACCTCCTCTAAGAGGCCTTGTTTCTGCTGTCCCCACTGCCCTGAACGTTTTCTTCTTCCTTACTATTTTTTTTGGGGGGTCTGGGGGGAAGCTGCTGCTATGGATTGAGCCCAGAGCCTTGCACATGCTAAACACACACTGAACCACTGAGCTACACCCCTGGCCCTTCTTTCTCCCTCTTGGAGAAAAATGAATAATTCTTCTTCATTAATGCCTCTGGTAAAAAGTGAATTTTGGAGGTGAGAGGACAAATTCTGCAGGGCCTTTGTGACCACAATAGGGAGTCCGGATTCTTTTGTAGGATGGAAATTAACTGGAGAGTTTGGTGCAGGGAAGTGACAGATCAGATTTGTATTTCTTAAATATCACTTTGGCTGCTGTGTAGAAACCAGACTGTAGGGGGCAAGTGCAGAGGCAGACCAACACCCAAGTACAGCCGGCTATGGACTTGCCCCGGGTTCTCCATCCTTTCTGCCTTGAGTTCTAGCAAGAGCTCTTCCTTCACCATGCACGTTTGGTCTCCTCCACTTTGCTTCCTTAATGTTTCTTTTTTCAGAACTCAGCTGAGATGTCGCTTGTTCCAAGAAATTCTCCCCAGACATACACACACGCGCACGAGCGCGCGCCCCTCCTGTAACACAAGCTCATAGCCCTTGCCTCTTGTTCGTCGCTTTTAATACTGTTGTAATCAATTGATTAAATGATTTAGTATCAGTTATAGGACCCACCTCATTATAAGACAGTGGCCTAAATCGTTTGCCCAATTATCTGGTAAGCCCGGTAGGATAGGGACTAGTTTGTTCTGGTTTCCCGCTATATAACCCAGCAGATGAATGTTTGTCGACTGACTGAAGAACGCATGAATTATATAACCTTCCTATTCCACCCATCAAAAAAAAGCAAGTGGATAGAAGACTTGAAGATTTTATTACCTCTCCTTTAAAAAAAAAAACATAAAAAACACTGAATTTATTATCACGAGAGTGGTAATTAAGGGTACTATTTTCTGAGTTCGTGAAAATACACAGTGCTCTACTTAGAATGGATAAATTTTTCTTTTTCCTAAAATAAGTATAATAGTGTAAAATACGTGAGGGAAAACGAGATAAAAGTGCACGTCTTGGAGGAGAAAACCTGACATCTTCACTTCTACTTTATAAGCAAAATACGACTATCCCTGCAATTAATAAAAACAATGATGATGAGGTTAAGTGCAAATGCAGGGAACGCAAAGAGTTAAAATCCAAAGAGCACAACATGGATTCCGCCTACCGTCAGCAAAGCGAAACAGCAACGCCAACCCGAGGCAAAAGGAAATCCCATAGCCCGCAGCAAAGGGGAATGGGCGGGGCGAGAGCTCGGCGCCCCGCGGAGACCGCGCGGGAATTGCTGCAGCATCTAGACGCGCAGGCGCGAGACTAGCGGCCGGGGAGGACGAGGCTTCGCTCGGAAAGGGAGATTGACATTTGCCCTTTCGTACTTCTCATTGGTTTTTCTGGAGACAGACAACTCGCGCTGACCAGTCGTAGCCTACATGGAGCTCAAGCGTATTCGTGGACAACGCGGAGGAAAAGATTGCGCGAGGCGGAAGAGCACGCATGCGCTGTACGTCAGCGGCGATCTACTGATAATGATGGGTGGGGAGAGATCGAATTCTCACCGTGAGTCCAGCCCACGGAAATTGAGCAAGATTTCTGAGTTTACTCCTTAGGGAGCCTCCGGCTAGGGAACATCCAGTTCCCAGAAGTTGCTCCAGTGAGAATCCCAGTGTCCACCTCATTTTTTCTTTCTGGCCGCGCCCCAACCCTTCCTGAGACTATATTGTTATGATTGTGAATTATTGAAGAAGGCTTGCAGCCTGACGCCATCTCTGGGCAGTGCCCCTTCCTCCCTCTCCCACAATGATAGGGTCTTGAAGCTGTTTATAGGGCCCCCATCCCGCCATATTAGTAACTATTAAAGAGTTGAGGACCTACTATGTATGAGGTTCAGTGCAATGAGCAAATCCCTGCTCCTGGGAGCTATGTTCTACGGTACGACACAAACATATAAGTAAAGAAGATTATTTTATTTATTATTATTATTGTATTATTATTTTTGTAGCTCAAGCTTTACTATGTAACCCAGGCTGTCTTTGAACTCTATATAGCCCGAGATGATCTTGAACTGATGACTGGTGCCTTCACCTTATTCAGGTTTTGCCATGTTGTTTTGCAACGCTGGGAACTGTAATCAGGGCCTTAGGCATGTGAGGTAAGCCTCTACTACAGAACTATACCCCCAGCCCTGCCAAGTGCTGAGATTACAGGAGAGAGTCACTAAGACTGGCTTACTTATTTTTAAACATCTGAATTGGTTTTATTTTCAATTATAGGTTCTAGCAACACTTCATTCCATAAAGTAGAATAAGTGTTCCCACAAGATCATTTTAGATAGTGATAAATACTCAAAACAACATGGAGGGCTGGGGATGGAGGTTTACCTTGCATGCCTGAGGTCCTCCAGTGTTCAGCAGTCCAGCAGAGGTAAAGATAAAGAATACCTAAAGGGCTGGGCGCTGATGGCCCACGCCTATATCCTAGCTACTCAGGAGACAAAGATCAGAAGGATAGTGGTTTGAAGCCAGCCCTGGGGAAACAGAGAGACCCTATCTCAAAAAAAATCCATCACGAAAACTGACTGACAGAGTGGCAAGCTGAGGCCCTGAGTTCAAACTCCAGTGCCATGAAACACACAGACATACCCAGAACAAAGAAGGAGGGAAAACATAAGTTTTTATTCTCTGGCTCTCTCCTATATAATAGGAAGCTAACCCAGCACTGCAAAACAACATGGCACCCAGTACTGCCAAAAAAAAAAAAAAAAAGGGCAAAGCAACAACACGAGGATGCGATGGAATGACTGAATTGGGCTAGGGTCCTTACTGAGATGAAAGTAGAGCTAAGACTTGAATTAGGTGAAGGCACTAGCCAGTGACCGAGCATTTCATGCTTGGGAAAAAGAGCAAGTGTGGAGGTCCTGGTGCTTGGAGGCAATTTGAGTGGAGCAGGGTAGATCAGGAGTTTGGAGATTATTTTAAATACAATGGAAAGTCAGTATGACATGATTATTCTTCATGTTGTTGCTGAGTGGAGAATGGGTTGTTGGTAAGCGTGGAAATAGGTTCAGACATCATGGAGAGAGGGTGGTGTCCTGAACCAGGTAACTGGGGAGATGGTGAGATGTGGATGAATTTGGGATAGGATTGGTGTGTTGGATGAAGGAAGTCAAGATAATTCCTGAGATTCTGGAATGTGCAGATGGGTAATTATGGTATTATTGAGATGAGAACAGAGGAAGAGCATGTGTGGGGGTGGGAATCAAGAATACTGTTGAGAGCCGAGTATGTAGCTCAGTGGTTAAGTGTTTGCCTGGCATACACAAGGCTCTGGATTTGATTCCCCAGTACTGGGGAAAAAAAAAAAGTTATGTTTTGGCCATATTGAATTTGAGATGCCCATGGGACATCTGAGCAGAAACGTTGAGGTGGAGTCTGGAGTTTACAGAGAGGCCAAAGGTGGAATTATACATTAACACAAAGATAGTATTTCCAAAGTCATGGAACTTGGTAGGGTAGGGTCAGCTACAGAAACAGTGAAGAAGCTGGGTGTGGTAGCACACACCTGTAATCCCAGTATTTAGGAGGCTAAGAATCAAGCTTGAAGCCAGCCTGGACTATACAGTGAGACCCTGACTCAAGGGGAAAAAAAAGAAGGTAGAAGAGAGGGCTGTGGAGAGAATCCTGTGGTTGTGGTTCCTCCAGTGTTCAGCAGTCCAGCAGAGGTAAAGGTAAAGCTGGAAGAGGATACCCAGAAGATAGGAAGAAAAATAGAAAATTGTGTTGTCTTTAAAGACAAGAGAAAAACTCAAGAAGAAAAATCTGATTATCTGGATTAATTGCTGCTTAGAGATTAAGAGAGATGCAAGCAGAGAAATGATGGCTGAAAACTTTGTCAAAGAGCAGTGGCTGGGGAAGGAGCCTGATGGGAATGATCAAGGAGAGAATGAATGTTCAAGAATGGAGGGAGCTTGGAGGGATTGGGGAGAGAAATGACCCAAACATTGTATACACATATGAATAAAAGAAAAAAAAAAACAAAAGAATGTTTGTGAGCACAGGTAGCTCACACCTAAAATCCTAGCAATTTGGGAGGCTGAAATCAGGAGGATCAAGATTCAAGACCAGCTCAGGCAAAAGGTTTGGAGACCCCATTTCAACTAATAGCTGAGTGCAGTGGCATCCTCCTGACATCCCGGCAATGTGGGAAGCTGAGATCAGGAAAATCATGGTTCCAGACTAGCCTGGGCAAAAAAGTTTGTGAGACCCCATCTCAACAGAAAAACTTGGGCATGGTGGTGCTTATCATCCCAACTACAGCAGGAAGCTAAAATAGGAGTATGGAGGTCCAGGTCAGCCTGGGCAAAAGCCAGATTCTATCTCCAAAATAACCAGAGCAAAAAGGGCTGGAGGTGTGGTGCAAGTGGTACAGCACCTGTCTAGCAAGTGTGAAGCCCTGAGTTCAACCCTCATACCACCAAAAAATGTGGAAGGAAGAAAGAGATAAAAGAAGCAGAGATACAGTGAGGGTTTTTTGAAATAGTCTTGAGTTTTCTTAATATGAAAGATAATAGCACAAATTTCATTGAGAATAAAAAAATCATCCAGGAGAGAAGGGGGAAATTGAAATTTATTGAAGGCTTACTTTGTGTGTTAAGAGCTTTACAAACATTCATCTTCACAATGGTTTACAGATGAGGCAACTGAGGTTAAATAACTTGCCCAAGGTCATGCAGCTAGAGGTGGTGGAGCTGAGAGGCCACCCACATTTCTCTGACTCTTCAAACCTGCCTCACCAGCCCATCACTTAGGCACAAATCCCCCTGTACCTGAACACCAGGGCCATGCCTTTGCCCTGATCGCAGTGCCCCTGAGGATCAGAAAGAGTCACTCTATGCTGGAGGGAGTTTGTTTTCTTCCTCCAATGCTGAAAGCAGGCACATGTCCCCCACCGCCTGAACACCCATGCAGCACAGGACAGAAGCTCCCCCAGTCCAGAAGGGCAGAGGTAAGCAGCAGGAACCCCCAAAGTTAGGAGGAAAACAGACACTTTCGGGGGTATACAGAGGGTTTCTTTTTGTGCCATCCAGTGCAAGGGAATGCTAGTCCCAACCAGCTGGGGCCTGTGGTCCCGGCACTCATCTGGATCTGTTCAGTGTGACAAGAAGCTTGGGTCAAAGCCCAGTCTCCCGGCTGCCCCCATTGAGGCTGAGGCTGTGGGGGCGAGTTCCTCGCTCTAGCCTGCGGCTAGACAGGAGTCGCCGCAACGAGGAGCCAGAGCTCAGATCACCACAGCTTCTTAGGTGGAGGCTCTCACGGCCTGGCCGGACCCACGGGCTCCGGAACACCTGCAAGCGGACACAGAGGAGAGAATTGGGACGACCCAACCGAAAGTGCTAGGCTTTCTCAGGGATCTTTCCTGGCTCCCCTAATGCACCTGCTTATGTCCATGGGCTCCAGTCCCAGTGGGGTCTGGGGACTTCCTGGACATCTGGAGGAAACGAGTGACCAGGCCGCGGCCAGGCCAGCTTCCTTTCAGGTCCCCCAGAGAGTGCGCAGGTGCAGGGCCCGAGGGCAGGGGAACCTTCTGGAAGGTGGGCACAGGGTGTCGTTTCTCGGCTGAGCGGGCACGTAGCAGCTTGGGGGAAGGGCAGTGGGCTAGGCGGAAGAGGCAGGCTTCAGAGCAGAGTCCTACAGAAAGCGAAATAGAGAAGAGAGTGGAATGTGGGGTGCAGAGGGCTAGGCAGCCCTCCCCCACCCTTCACCCTCCAGCTGCCAGCCACATGCCTGACCTGTATCTGCAGAGGAAACAGAGGCAACTTCTTCCTCAAGCACTTTGGTATAAAAGTCCCTGAAGTCAGCTGGGAGGAGACAGACACTGAGTGGGGGCGCCCTGTGGATACACCTGCCACCCGCCCCCCTTCAAGCCCAAAGGAGTCTTCATTGCTCCCACACCCCATCTCCACTCAAAGGGCCATCATCTTTGCCCACGTCTGCCTGCAGCTAGATGCTACAGTGAGTGCATAGACAGGGACTGCAGTGCTGTTCACTGCTGCAGCCTTCTCCATCCCTGGCACCTTGTAGTAATGACAAGCACTTTCTGTGCTTAGTGGTGCATGATTTCCGTTTCGAGGACTAATCAGTCCTGGCCCAACTTAGCTTTCCGTATCAGGTAGGATCGGGCACTGTCAGCATGGAGTGGCCATAGACTTTGCATTATCTTCCCTCTCAGCAACTCTACAGTACTCATGGTTGAAGTACTGTTATTGCACCTGCTTTACAGGTGAGAAACTGAGGCTTGCAGGGAATAGCTTGGGACTGTGAAAACAGCCCTCTTTAGCCACAAAGCTGTAGAGGCTCTGTCCCCGGAAGATGAGCACTCAAGATACGTATTGCAAGAATTAACTCGCCCTTTCTTCCTTCTCAGGGACCTCAACAGGGTCCCAAATCCTGGTGGGCATCAGACCCCCTTAATTCCCAGTGCCTACCCTCCTCTGAACCTAGGGGGCGCTCTCACCAGTGTCGCTGGAGGTGGTGATGCCCGGGTCACTGTGGGACCGGGGCAGCAGCAGCGGTGGCGGGGGAGCCGGATGAGGAGGCCGGTGCCCCGGTGGGGTGAGGGAACCTGAGCTATCGCTGAAGCGTCGAGTTGAGGCTCGGGTGGGAGGGGCCGCCGCTGGGCGGCTTCCTCCCCGGGGGACCCGCCGCCTCAGCTCGGGGAAGCAGGGGCCCACCCAGGGCGGCCAGCCCTCCAGGCGGTGGCAACTGCGAGCAGCGGTGGGGGCACCCAGGGGGGGTGGGGCCTCAGGGGCAGAGCAGGAATAGGAGCGGGCAGCCCGAGGGGGCCGCCGAGGCTGGGGGCTGTCCTCAAAGGGGCCCCGCAGGCCGCAGTCCAGGCTGAGGCAGTAGCCGGCGCGGCTGCGCTGGATAGAGCGGAAGAGCACGTAATCGACGGAGCGCACGGAGCCCTGCAGCTCCAGCAGGCACGAGTCCTCCGATGGGCTAGAGCCCCCGGGGAGGTCACCAATGGCTGACAGCACCAGAGACCCGCTGTCCATGGACACTGTGGGCGGCAGGGGGCGCTGGGTAGCACCGGCCAGCCGCCCAGCCAGACAGTTCCTCTTTTTCCCAAACCCAACCTTTCCTGGGCCACTCTGTCTCCTTCTTTATCTCAGAGGATACCCTGGCTCCAGGGTTCCTAGGAGCCACAGCTCTAATTTGTCCCTAAATCACCAGCTCATCCTTGTTTTTCCCTCCTGTTGGCCCCACCCAGCCTGCTGTCCCTGGCAGCTCTGCCCTTGTCCACTCCTCCCTCCCTCTCTGCTCACCATCTACAATGGAGGCCACTCGCTCACAGATGCAGGAGCCATCGTGCAGCTGAGGATCAAACAGAGTGGCCTGCAGAAGACACAGGGTCAAGGGTCCAGCCTTTTGCATTGGTATGGACATGTGCTGGACAGAGCTCTGGAGACCTAGATTCCAGACCAGCTTTGTCACTTTGTGCAAGTCACTTAACTTAAGTGGGCCTCAGTTTCCACATTTGTATTACAGAAATAATAGTTCCTTTCCCACCCACCTCACCAGGCTCTAGGGAAGATCAAAGATGACAGTGGAAGAGTTTGTACTATGAATATCATGAGAACTATTATTATCCTTATTCAGCAACAACAGTTAGCTCAGCATTCCAGGCTCTGTCTCTGGTCCCCAACCCACATCAACGGCTGCTCTCACCTGGCTGTCTCCTCGTAGCCCCATGACAGCCTCGTAAGAAGGGGGACAATCAGTAGGGTACAAGGGCACTGGGCTGTCCATGGAGCCATTGTACGTGATGCTGGATAAAGTAAAGGATCAAAACTCAAAAAAACAGCTCCTGCTCCACAAAGATCCCTCCCCACCAATCCAGGCTCAGCCCCAGTCCCCTTTGTCAGTTCCCCGAGCAGACTTGCACCCATCCTCACCTCTGTGCATCTGTTTCTGAGCTGCAGGTATACTCTGGGGGATAGTATGGCGGTGGGGGCACAGGCGGTACAAATTCCTCCAAGTCCAGCATGGTGTGTAGGAGAGGGGCTGGAGGTGAGGATGTACAGGCCAGAGGCCCCAGGGGGCCTGAAACTGAGCGCTCAGGGGCCAGCTGCTGGGGGGCAAGCAGGTCAGCAAGCCTGATTTCTGGGAATACAGCTCCTCCTTGGCCTCCAGACTCTCTCATCAACATTATTTTAATGGCCCTGCTCCCTGCACAAAGCTCCAGTTCTAGCCCCTCCTTACCACAACTAGCTCCTTAACCCTGCCCCCACCTTAAGCCTCTAGCTCTGACCCTGCCCAACCAGAAATTCTTCCTCTTTATAGTATTACTTCTGTTCAGAATTGCCACCTCTTTTCTGTCACCACAGAACTGTCCATCCTTTATCCCCATCTCCATCTAGGACCTTCTTTTTTTTTTTTTTTTTGTAGTATGGGGGCTTAAACTCAGGGCCTTCACCTTGAGCCACTCTGCCAGCTCTTTTTATGATGGGTATTTTTGAGATAGGGTCTTGTGAACTATTTGCCCAGGCTGGCTTTGAACTGCAATCCTCCTGATCTCTGCATCCTGAGAAGCTAGGATTACAGGCATGAGCCACTGGCACCCGGTTTAGGACCTTCTTGATACCATCCCATCCAGTCCTACTCTCTAAAGTCCCCTCTCCTGGTCCCAGACTGGCATCACACGCTTATCACTCCCTGCTCTCTCCGCTCCTCAGCCTCCCTTTGGCCCCTCCCAAACATCCCTCCAATAGATATACTCAGTAAGTGACTCATAGCTCTGGGTACTCAGAAGCCAAACCCTAGCTACCACTTCCTCAGGCCCAGCACCCACCCGTGGCCACTACCATATTGCCCTGCCCTAGCTCCCTTCTCACCGTATGCACGAGGTCCAGGGAGAAGATTTGGACACAGCAGACAATAGCAGAGAGGGTACAAATTATGGCGGCACAAATGGTGAGCCCACAGACACTGAAAAGCAGGTTCTAGGGAAGGGAAGAGAAAGGAGCAGAGAGGTAAGGCGTTTAGGAGGGGTAAATCCTACATATTCCGGGCCTACAAGGACCCCAGGATGGCAGGCAAGGAGAGAACCAGGAGACTGTGGGGAAAAAGGAATGGAATAGGACATGCTCACCTTAAGGGCCCCTCGGGCTTCATCACAGGTGGAGTTAAGGGCAACTTTCAGTTCCTGCCCCGACTCTGGACAGGGCCGGAGGAGGGGGATAGGAGGACAACACACACAGACCTTTCCATCCTGAGTGGGAGTGGGGAAGATGAGGCAACCTGGGTCAGGACAAACTCAGGTGTCCTGCACACCTCCCCCAACTAGTTCTTTGTGGTTTTCTTGCCTCAAATCTCACCATGGAGCAGTCTCGAAAGTCCCGGGCCAGCTGAGCGTTCTTACAGGAGAGAACAGAGCCAGCCATGCTGAGCATGACACAGAGCACCGAAAGCAAGGAGAAGAAAGAGATCTGGGGAAAGACAGTGCCGACTCAGGCTGGGACCTTCACGAGCACCCCTCTACCATGGATTGAGCCACCCTCCTTCACAGACACTTGTCTGGCACCATCTGGAGAGCTAATTCCCTTCCTATGGGCATCCCCTCCGGTGCTGGGCACTTGCCTTACAGTGGGCATTTGACCCTGCCACCTACCACTAGAGTGAATGGCCGCTTCCAGGACACAATGCCAACCACCCCGGAGAACGCCAGCTGGGGACAGAGTGGGCACAGGTTCAGCCTGGCAGGGGAGGCACCTGAGTGAGCCCCTCACCACAGGATGCACCCAGCCCTGCAAGGAGAGAGAGGACCAGGAAAGGGAGGAAAGGCGAGGATGTGGGCTTGCAGCTGGTGAGGAGAACAGGGCCTGAGGAGCATCCCCCTCCCGACCACTTTGCACCCAACTCACCGAGAACCCAGCCCAAGATGGGCAGGACCTCTTGATGCTCTCTGTGGTGGTGACAGAAGAGGCCACCATGCTGAAGGTTACCACCAGGATGCCCAGGAGCACCTGAGCCAGCCCCAGCGTGAGCAGGGCCTGCAGCCAGGGTCGGTGAAGGCGGAGGTGGGTAAGGCCCCGGGTGCTGGGCCGGCTGGTCAGGGAACGGCTGGAGTCACTAGGAGAGGGCATCATGCTTGCCACCAGGTTGCCTGAACCTCGCTCCACCCTCCCTGGTGCTTGGGAGCATCTCAGAAGCGCCCAAGGCCCAGTCCTTTCTCTCCACTCCCCTCGCTCTAGAGCCCACCCCCTTACTAGGTCCCCTGGGGTATCGACCGGGGACTCCAGCTGTGGGAATAGCCAAGGGAGGGGCGTCACGGGGGGATAGCGGGGTGCTCCCTCCCCACCACGGACACCGGACGGGCACAGTGCCCGGGGCGGCGATGAGGACGTGGGGGCAGTGGCTCATCGCATCTCCTTGGGGAAGAGGGGCGCCGAGAAGGGCCCGTCCAAGAGTGAGAAGAGGGCGGCGGTCCGGAGCCCAGGGAAGGTTGGGATGGATAAAGGCAAGAGGGATGGGAAGAAGTCTAGAGAAGAGGGGAGGGGTCGGCGCGTAGTGACTCTAGATACGCCATCGGTGTGACCTCAGGGTGTCCAGTGGGATCCTGGGCTGCCTGGTGGGGAGAGGCCGCGGCGCCGCAGTCTCCAGGGTCGCCTGCCCCGCTCCCCTCCCCACCACGCTCCGCTTCCCTAGCTCGGGCTGCAGCAGGTCGGGCACTAGAGCCGGGGGATGGGGTTGGAGAAGGAGACGTGAAAGAAGAGGGGCGTGGCTGCGCGGTGCACCACGGGAGCTGTAGTTCCAGAGACTTTGAGGTGAGGGAGGCGGGGAGTTAATGGGAGGCCTCGCCCCGGACCCTGGCCAAACTGCTAAAGATCCTTTCAGAGCCTTCTTGTGCTCTATCCAGCTGTAGCGTTCTCAGTAGGCTCTTCCCATCATTAATGGAGAGGGGTGGAGAGCAGGGCTCCCTTGTGTCTCTCTGCATTTCTACTCCAACCGTAGACTTCCTGCATTCTTCCTGCACCAGCCACCCAGGCCCTGCTACCAGGTCCCCCACTGCTCTTCCTCAGAAGACACTCAAGACAGGTCCGACCTTCCCTGCGGAGCCCACGGTTCTGCTTCCACTGTAGTACCCACCACACTTTCTGTTTCATAAGACCTAATTCCAAGTTTAAAAAAATCAGGGAGTGAGTTCTAGTTACACTTTCTTTTTATTTAAATAACCGAAGCAACAGCGTTGGCACAGCAGAGGGAAGTTGGATCGGGGAATGTGAGGGGTGGCAGCTGTGTGGCCTGACTGGAGGGGAAGAGTGAGCAGCGACTAGGTCACAGTGGGCTCCCCATACCCCCAATTTAGGTTCAGCATCCATGGCTGTGGAATTGGGGGCACCACAGAGAAGCCATCAAGTAGTGATGTCTCCCCAAGTCCTAGAGACTTCAGGGATGGAGGCTATGTCAGCTTCCTCAAGTGGCAGGGCATCCCAGTGAGGAGTCATGGGGCCCGGAAGGCATTTTCCGCAGCCCCAGCGGCTGCACTGGCAGCTGCAGTTCGAACTGCAGGGTTGGAGAAGACACCAGCAGCAAATTCTTGCTGGGCCTTCTGAAAGCTGGCACCTGTGCGGCGGTACAAGGAGTGGATCTGCAAGGAGAGGGCAGAGAATTATAGCACAGGCTAGCCCCTGCTGCCTACAACCTGACACCACCGTCACTTACCAGCCTGCTGTTCTTGCTTTTCCTTCCGGGCTCTGACCCTCCCTCCCAACACACACACCCCAGATGTCCATTAGCTGAGAATCAGCCCCTCAGAATGGCACGCCCAAGTTCCTTCTGAATGTTCCACTCCAACCCTAGGGACCCATGATCTCACCCTCCTGGCCCCACCTTCCACCCTGCCCCTCACCCGCTTTAGCATCACAATTCCCAGCACAGCGATGCCAGTGAAGAGCAGGGCAACCAGCAGCATGAGCACAGCTACAGCTGTGTTGGTCCTCACTACCACCACAGCAGAGATCCAGCCACTGTGGGGAAAAGCATGTGCTGGTGAGGAGGGGCTGCTCACAGCAGGGCCGCCATTTTCCCAGTTTCTCCACTGGGTAGGTGACAAATATGCCCTATTCCCCATCCCTCCATCAGTGGTCACTCCCCCACTAGCCTGGCAGAATTACATGAGCCACAATCCCCACTATATCCACTCTCTTCAGAGTTTAACTCCAGTTTCTGAACCATTAACTCCTAACTCTCTAAGTTCTTCTGGGCATCCTCTCTCCAAACAGACCCTCTCTGTTGAAGATGTGCCCTCCCTTCTTCAACCATGGTTACGTAAGCCTCCTTCAGGAAGTCTTCTTCCCTTCAATCTGCCTGTCTAAAGTTGTCTGGGCTCTCTATACTAAGCACATATTCCCTCTCATTAAACTAGCGCTTCCTAAGGGGAAAAAACCCACACATTTCTTTTTGCTGGACAACTCCTACCCGAGTACCTGGCTTGTTTAGCAGAGTGGGAAGGGAGGGGTGGGAATAGATGGCAGCCTCACAGACCTGAATCCCCAACCTGGGATGCCAATGGCCTGGAGGACAAAGAAAACATCCTGGACGAAGAAAATGAAGAAGAAAACGAAGAAATTGAATGAACTGTCGCTCCTGCAAAGAGAAAAAAAAGGGAGGAAGGGAGAAGAATTAGAGCCGGAGGAGCTGATGGGGGGGCCCAACCCAGGTCCCCACTGAACCTTTCACTTACCTGAAAGCCTTATACATTGGGCGGTACCAGCAGACGAAGGAGCAAGGAGTAAAAAGGAGGACCCAGAGCAGAGAAAGCCCAAAGCCTGAGCCGTTGCGGGTCTCCACGCAGAAACTAGCTAGGCAGGCGAGGAAGTTCAGGAGAAGGGTCAGAGTGCTGCCTAAGGGACAGAGGGACAGAATGGCAGGTCCTTCTGGATCGCAATAAAGCCTTCTTCACTCCCATCCCATCACCCTCAACAAAATATTAGCATAAGGAAAGGAAGGCAGCTCCTGCCTTGGTGAAATCAACCCCACAGAACCACAGAACAAGCAAATATCAATCACGTGTAATACCCTTACAAAGATTTTTACATTTTTAAAAGATACTGAAGGGAGAACTCAGGGCCTTGTGTTTACTAGGCAGGTGATTTGAAATGTTGTGACAAATTCACATCCAAAGGCTGAGCCCCAAGAACAACGGGGCCTTGTCTTATATGCCCTTGCAAGCAGGTTACAGAAGCAAGAAGCAAAGTTTAACCCACTGACTACCTCATTCTCAGTGCTATGTAACCATTTTCAGGTTCAGTTTCTTTAAGTTTCAGTTTCCTGCCATGTCTTCCCCTCCTCACCACTACAAAATTCCCCCTCTTTGATGCTTGGACCCATCTAAGGTCAAAAAGCATCATCCTGATTTAGGGGTATTTCCACAGCATCATTTCATGGGCAGCTGTTTTCCTTTCTATAGTAGCCTCCATAACGGTCCTGATAGAACATAATACCAGGGGAACCAGACAGGGTAGTAGCAAACATGTTCCCAAGACAAGAGCCACTAACCCTAACAGGAAGTCTTTCCCAGACCCAGTCACTGATTTTCAAGAGAGTCGACCTGAGGGCCTGCATTTCTTGTCTCAAGGTGAAGTCACTTATTTCTTTGAGGTCCCCTTGTATACACTTGATTAAGGTGGGGGGGTGAGCATCCAAAAGGACTTGAAAGAGTGAAAGCCCTGTCAACTTTGTGGGACTTGACCTAATCCTTAGTAATTCTATAGATAGTAGCTGGTCCCACTGTAGATGGGTTTCTTGACCAGCTGTAATTTTATTCATACATTTCATTCTTCCTGAACTTTGGGGCAGTAGACTGTATGCAACTTCCAGCGGATTCCTGAGCTGGTGGTTAGCTACCAGCTGCACCACCTCGGTCACAAAGGCTGGCCCATTATCCAACCCAATAGACAGGGATATCCCAAACCAAGGGATGATCTTCTTTAGCAGGCATCTGGCTACCTCCCAGGCCTTCTCATTCCGCATGGGGAAGGCTTCTATCCTTCCTGAGAAGGTACAGACCAACACCAATAGATACTTGCATCCTTGAGCTTGTGGCATTTCAGTGAAGTCCATGATCAAGTTTTCAAGAGGAGTTCCACCAACACTCCGCACCTGGGGTGGCGTCCTTGGCCCTTGCCAGGGATTGTGTCTAGCACATAGGCTACATCTTTCACATACTGTCTTACTTATGCTGGGGGACATAGAAGTGCTTGGCCAGGGTGGTCTTGAGGATCATTTGCCCTGAATGGGTTCCTTCGTGGAACTGCTTGACAAATGTGGGAGCCATTGACTCAGGGATGGCGATGCGACCATCAGCAAACTTCACCATCAGTCCGGTAGAAAGCTTCCCTTCTCAGTCCTGAACCAGGCCTGTTCCTGTGGTGTGTAGCATGGGTCCAATTCAGCTAAGGGATATGGGAAGGCAGCTGTTAGGGCAGTTGGGGCTGGTCCCCTAGTGAGGGCTGCCTGTTTGGCCTGTCGGCTCTCTGGTTTCTTTAAGCAATTATTGCATCTCCCTTTTGGTGCCCTTGGCAGTGTATAACTGCCACCCATTTAGTGGCCCATACAGCATTAGCAGTTCAAGGATTTCTTGTCCATACTTGATACCTTTTCCTCCCGAGTTAACAAGTCCCCTCTCTTTATATAAGGCCCCGTGGACATGAATAGTTGTTAAGACATATTTAGAGTCAGCACAGATGTTTAACTGTACTCCTGCAGCAAGCTGGAACACCCGTGTGAAGGTGATTAAGTTCAGCCTTTTGTGCAGAAGTTCCAACCGGCAGCAGGAGGGCTTTACTGACTGAGTCGAGTTACCACCACATACCCAGCAAAGCACATGCTGTCCCAGACAAAGGTGCTGCCATCTGTGAAATATTCAACATCCAGATGGCTGATGGGCGGTCAGTTAGACCTGGCCAGCTTGAGAAAACTGCATTCATGACCTGTAAGGAATCATGTTCTGGGGGCCCCAAGTCAACCAGCAATAGAGTGGCCATGTTTAGAGTCTTAACACCTCCAGCCAGATGTGCGGGTTTTCACGTAGCATACTCTGGTATTTGACCATCCAAGAGTTGGTCAGCCAATAATTTCCCTTATACTCCATGAGAGTCAAAGTGAGGAACCCAAACAGTGAGTTCTTGCCCTAGGGTGAGCTTGTCTGCTTCTGCCACCAGGACAGTGGTGGCTGACAGGGCACACAAGCAAGGCAGCCAGCCTCGGGAAACGGCATTGAGTTGTTTTGACAAGAAAGCTACTGGACAATGCCAGGAGCCTAGTAGCTGGGTTAGGGCACGATAGCTGTCCCCTTTTGCTCATGGACATACAAGAAAAAGGGCTTTGTCACATCTGAGAGGCCTAGGGCAGGGCACTTGGGAGCGCCCTCTTCATTTCTCTAAAGGCTTTTCATTATTCCTCCCCCATACCAAGGGTTCCACTTCTCCACCCTTTGTGGCTTCATAGAGGGACTTAGCTAAGAGAGCTAAGTTAGGGGGTCCAGATTTGGCAGAAACCTATGGCTCCCAAAGGGGGTCGGAATGGAACAGACAGCTTGTTTCCTCTCAGAGTCAAGCCTGAGTTGCCTGTGTGACAGGTGAAAGCCAAGGTATTTGATGGTGTTTTGGCAAATTTGGGCCTTCTTCCAAGAAACTTTGTATCCTTCCTCCCATAAAAGAGAGAGAAGGAGGCAAGTCCCTTCCACACAGTCCTCCTGAGTTGGTCCCACCAACAGGAGGTCATCCACTTACTGAAGGAGTGCGCAGCTGTGCTCATTGGCTGAGAAAGCTTTGAGGTCAGATGTCAAGGCAGTTCCAAAGATAGTGAGGGTTTTTGAAACCTTGCAGCAGCTGAGTCCATGTTAGTTGCTCCTTTTCTCCATTATTGGGATTTTCCTACTGGAAGGCAAAAATAGGCCGGCTCTGGGAGTTAGGTGGATGCAGAAAAATGTGTCCTTAAGATCTAGGCAGGTAAAAAACTTTGCCTCTTCTGGGACAAGGCCTAAGTGTATAGGGATTTGGGACCATGGGATGCAGAATGATGGTTGCTGAATTTACTTCCTGGAGGTACTGAACTGGCCTAAAATCCCCAATCCCAGTTTTTGGACAGGTAATAAGGGAGTGTTCCAGGATGACTGGCACAGTCGAAAGATCCAATACTTTAGGAGTCTGTCAAGGTGTTTTTGAACTCCAACCTGGGCCTTGCAGGGAATGAAGTACTGCTTTTGGCTTAGGAGGATGGCTCCCAGCTTTAATTCCACCACTACTGGGGGCATGTTTCGGGCCAGTCCTGGGGGTTATCTTTAGCTCATACACCTGGAATCTTGAGGGGATGCTCAGGAATCTCAGGAGGTCTTCCCTCAGGGGCACAGAGCTGCCATTCCTCTTCTTGTGTGACCGTGAGAGTTAATCTTTGCCCCTCAGGTCTTCTCAGTTTTAAGGCTTCTGTGCCATCAGAATCAAAGGTTAGGGCTGGGATGTAGCTCGGTGGTACAGCGCTTGCCTAGCATGCGTGAGGCCCTGGGTTCGATCCCAGCACCAAAAAAAACAAAACAAAAAAAAAAAAAAAAAAAAAAGAATCAAAGGTTATCTGTACTCTCAGTTTGCATAATAGGCCCAAGGCAATTGGGGAGAGAGATAAAGAACTTCTTGCATTACTTCATGGCTCCCAAGACTGCATTGTCTAGACACTAAGAAGGGGCAGTGGACAGGTTCCCTGTAACCCAATAATAGTTTGTGTGCTTTTGTGAAAGGGGGCCCACTGATTGGGTCACAAGTGAGTGTTCTGCATCTGTGTCCACCATGAGGTCAACAGGATGGCCCCCTATCCTCATTTGGCCCATAGGCTTGTGGGGACCTAGTAAAATGGAGCTCCGTCTGTCCTATCCCTCCTCATAGCCTTCCAGGGCTGATGGTCCAACAGTGTTTTGCTCCCAGGGGCTGGCTTCCCCGAGGTTAGGCTGGTATTTTCCCTTGACAACTCAGCCTCTGCCCATGGTCTTGGGGGTCTTCTGGGAGTCCCTGGCCCATTGGGGACATTCATTCTTCCACTGCCCATCCTGGTGATAGTAGGCACATTGATCTTGCCCTAGTTCCTCCCTAGGGCAGGGGCGTCCCAGGGGTACTGGTTGCTGTCCACGGTGGTTGCCCTTGCCTCTGCCTGGACCAGCCTGTTGAGGCTTGCCTGACCATTCAACAACGGCTGCAGCAAGGAGGTCCACTTTCTTTTTCATCTTCCTGTTGGCCTTCCATTTTGCCTCCTGATCTTGACTGACAAAACCTTTCATGGCTACCTCCAAAAGCTGGCTGGCATTCATTCCAGTGAATCCCTTCTATTTCTGCAATTTTTGCCTTATGTCCCCTTGGGCATAAGGCGAAAAAGTGGCATTAATCATCCACTGGTTTTTAGTGGCTTCCAAGTCAAAAGGGGTGTATAAGCAGAGGGCCTCACACAAACACTCATAAAACTGGCTGGGACTCTCATCTCGTCCTTGGAGGATGTTTTGCTCATGTTCCTGGCCTTTTTCCCTCCTTCCTTCATGCCTCCCAATAATGCCTCCTGATATCAGTCAAGCTGCTGGTAGTCTCAGTCATCATTAGGGTCCTGATGGGGGTTCTGATGGGGGTCCTCCTCGGGGAACTGAGCCTGAGCATAGGCTTGGGCATTTAAGGTGCCTGCATGGGAGTGATCTTCCAAACACTTTAGGGCCGCCAAAGTTATACAATGTCGCTCTTCAGTATTGAATACAGTCAGAAGAAGTTGGCAGCAGTCTGTTCAGGTGGGTTTATGAGTTTGGATGATGGACTGCATTAAATCAATCAGTGCTTGAGGTTTTTCTGTGAAGGAGGGAGTATTATGTTTCCAGTTCAGGAGGTCTATGGTGGTAAAGGGCTGGTAGATGAATGTCTGTCCTCCTCCTTGTATTTGACCATACCAGTCATAATACACTGGGCCTCAGACCTCCCTCAGGGGCATCTGCAGGGTGGCGGGAGTCTGAGGAGGACAGGGGTCCTCATGGGGACTGGTTGGATACCCTGATTGAATGGGGGACGTAGGGTGAGAACTGTCAGACTTGGAGTGGGCATGAGGTCCATAGGACTCAGGGAGGTCAGGGGAGTTGAGGCTCCAGATGCCTCCAGGCCAGATTTTACAGGTACGACTGTTCCTCAAGATTCCCCATCTGGTGTCAAAAGCGAGGGTGCAAAACTGGGTGCCAGTGGCAGGGGTGGATAAAGTGGCACATAGGGCAGTGGTGTTTCCTCAGGTTCCTTGGCCAGTATAGGCTCCTTTGACTTCTCCCTATACTTGGGAGTTGTGGCAACCCTAGTTACCATGATCCTACAGGTTTCTTCCAGACAAAGTCTTTAGCCATGCGGGCTAGTTGAGAATTGCATCCTGCCAGCAATCAATGTAGAGAAACTGATCAGGGTGTCCGGGCTTCCCTACAATTACCCTATAAACTTCACTGACTACAATTTTATCTATCAACCCTTCTGGGGGCCACTCTACACCAAAAGTGGGCTAATTTAATTCAGAAAGGATCCTAAGCTTGTTAGGAGTTGACTGCATAGTCTCCTTTTTTAAAGTTTTTAAATAATAAAAAAATAAATAAATAAAATAAAATAATCCATTTTTAAAGTTTTTAAGCATACACTCCAAGGGGGTGTCCTTACTCTGACTTCCACCAGTTTTTTCCTGTTACCAGATGTCAAAACAGACACAGAAGGGCAGGGGTCTCAGAGGAGAGGTAAAGGGTCCTCTTCTCCGACACACAGGGAAGAACAATATGTGCCCCTTATTGGTGACCTGGATCGTCGCCTGGCCAGGAATTGTACCTACACAGGGTCCTCACCTGCTTTGTAGCCAGATTACATCTCAGGCGCGTGTGCACATACACACACGTGCGCGCACACGCACACACACACACACACACACACACATACACACACACTCTTCCACCCTGCTCCCTTAACCTGAGAGATACAATTTCACACCAGACAGGGCTACTTGGGTGTCTCTGGGAGGTGATCAGGCTCCCCTTCTGCCTTCCAAAGGCAGGCCTATTACTTGAAACTGGGTTCTTACTAGTCTGACGAGAGGGGCTACCAATTGATTCCCGAGCCTTCTCTGGGTTCCTTTGTACAACCAAGACTCACTCCCTGGTGCACCTGGAGAAGTGACTCTCTCTGGCACCTGGCAGGAATGGCTCTCCTGACAAGCCAGGGATGTAGAGTCCCGGTGACAAGGAGGTGAAAGACACCATCTCCAAATCCCAGTCTGAGCTCCCACAAATGTTGCAGGATATTCAAGCAGGGAAATGGGACACCAAGGCTTTTCGGGAAGCAATGTTTATTAGCATGCTGGCAGCAACTCAGCGGATTCATTTCCAAAGGCTGAGCCCCAAGAACAGAGGGGCTTCTTTGCCTTACATGCCCTTACAAGCAGGTTACAGAAGTGAGAAGCAAAGTTTAAGCCATATATGGTTACCTGTAATTTCATTGGCTACTTCATCTTCAGTACTATATGACTGTTTTCAGGTTCAGTTTAAGTTTCAGTTTCCTTCCACGTCTTCCCCTCCTCCCTACTACAATACCACTTGAGCCACTCCTCTAGCCCTCCCCCTTTTTTGTATTGGTTATTATCTTTTAACACTTTTATTAGCATATAATAGCTGTACAGGAGGTTTTATTGTGACATTTCCATATATGCATACAACACACCACAGTTTGACTCATCCCTTCCATTACTCTTCCTCTTTCCCTTCCCCCTGCATTGGTTATTTTTGAGATAGGGTCTTGCTTTATGTCTTGGCCAGCCTGGACTGCCATCCTCATATTTGCGCTTCTCTGAGAAGCTGGAATGAAAAGTGTGAGCCACTATAACCAACACCCCTGTAAAAATTTTTATTTATTATTTATTTTTATTTTATATTATTTACTTATCCATTTTATTGCAGGAGGTCTGGGCTTTGAACTCAGGGCCTCCACCTTGAGCCACTCAACCAGCCCTTTTTTGTAATGTTTTATTTTTTTTCGATAGGGTCTTGTGAACTATTTGCACAGACTGCCTTTGAACTGTGATCCCCGATGTCTGTCTCCTCCATAGCGAGGATTACATGCATGAGCCACCAGTGCCTAGCTTATTTTTTTTTTTTAATGAGACTGGGGTTTGAGCTCAAGAGTTTCATGCTTTGCAAAGCAGGCACTTAAGTCACACCTCAGACCATTTTGCTCTGGTTATTTTTGGAAATGTGGTCTTGGGAATTATTTGCCTGGACTGGCTTTGATCAACCTCCTAGGTAGCTAGGATTACAGGCCTGAGCCACCTGCACCCAGTCCTGCAAAAATTTTTAAAGAAGTAAGAACACACTTAATAGCCAGGTATGGTGGTACACACTTGTAATCCCAGTACTTGGGAGGCTGAGGCAGGAGAGTTGTGAGCTTGAGGCTAGTATGGGCTTCATATAAGTTCTAAGGAGCCTGGGCTACAAAGCAAGACCCTATCTCAAAAAGAAAAGAATGGTTCAAGAACATACACTTGCTAGTAGGATAAATTCAAATAAGTTCTAAACACAATAAAAAGATAATCTAGGAAAATCACTGCAGGAATTGTCCTTATATGCAAATACTGAAAAGTGAAATGTCTGGTTTTCAGTGAATGGGCTCCAGAATCCTGAAGAGATCTATAATGTTCCCCAAAAATATTTCTCACTACTTACACATCCAGAGGTAGTACATGGTGGATACTGTCTTCTGAAATTCTTGGGGGATCTCCATGGAGATGTCCTGGAAAAAGCAGGGCTGAACTGGGCAAAAAGAAGGTAGAGGGGGCCAATTGTTCTGTCGACCTATAAGGCACAAAGAAAACCAGGAAGATCTCAGGAGTGAGGCAGAGACCAATAAGGAAATCACTCCACTTTCCCTCCCTCCTAAAACCTCTCAATTCGAGTACAAACAGGCAAAGAAGAGTAGAAAAAAATAATAGTAAAAGCAAATACTATTACTTTGCAACATCTAAGCATTGGGCCAAGATTGCATATATGAATTTGTTTAACCCTCACAACAATTTTGTCAAACATACAGAAATGTACTTATCATTTTACAAATAAGGAAATTGAGGTGCTCAAGATTAAGTACCCAAGACATTGGGGGCATAGCTCAGATCTCCAGCACTGTGGTATGAAAAATTAACTCACTGCCTAAAAGCTCATGGTTAATAAGGGGTATCCCTACAATTCAACAGTTTGACTGCAGAGCCCAAGCTCTTAAGACATTTTTTTTGCTCCTTCCAAACTATCAAATGCTCTTTCTTCCTCATCCTATCAAGGGCCCACTTACTGGCCGTGCCCCCCAGGGCAACATGCTGCAGCTCTCGCTCCCTGCGGTCCAACTCCTCTGCCTTCCGGTTGAGCTCCTCCTGTTTCTTTAGCAGCTCAGCTGTGGCTGCTGCAGCTGAGGCCTGCCCAGCATGAGCAGAAAAAGGTGTGAGTCCAAGGACTGGCCCTCTCCCTGGCCCCCAACTGCACATATCCCCTTCACCTGAGTGCTGTAGGAGCCATAGTTCTTGGATTCTGTGGGGCTGAGCTTTCTTGAGGACTGTATGGAGGGAGCTGAGGGTAGCGGCAGCGGTGCAGGGGATGGGGCAGGAGGCTCATAAGATGGTGAGGGCTGTTGGGGAAAAGGCCTTAGAAATAATTTAGTCCCTAACAGAGAATCTAGAATCTGCTTGAAAATGTCTAGAATCAGAATTTACTACCTAAGGCAGCAGTCCATGTGCAATTGTTAGGAAGCTAGCTTTAAAAAAATAAAAAACGAGACACAGTCTTGCTATGTAACTCAGGCTGGCCTCAAACTCAAGATCCTCTTGCCTCAATCTATTGAGTGCTAGGATTATAGGTACACACCCAAACTCCAGCTAGGAAGCTAGTTCTTGTATTGAAAAAAAATTATTTTTTCCTGTGGCCTACACCTGGAGCCATTCCACCAGCCCTTTTTTGTGAAGGGTTTTTTCATGATAGAGTCTCACATCTCACAAACTATTTGCCCGGACTGGCTTCGAACCATGATCCTCCTGATTGCTGCCTCCTAAGTAGCTAGGATTACAGGTGTGAGCCACTAGCACCCGGTTCGTATTGAATTTATGTTGGAGATCTCTTTCATGATTTGCAGCAGCCCTGTCACCCTGCATATTCAATTTCATAGCAAGGACCCAAAGCTCATACCTACATATCCATTTCCTTACGTTCTTAAACTCATCATTTTCCTATTCCAATCAAACAGGCTATTCCTCCTCATTCCTTACCTTCTAACTACTCACTTAAGCAGAGATTTTTCCCAACTCCCACCAGCCCCTAACTTGATTTTCTTCAAGGAAGTCTTTCCAGACAGAACCTTGGTTCAGCCCCCTACCAGACTCCAGGTTCTCCTAGGAATAACTCTTACAACCAAACTACATGGATCCTTGGCCCTAGATTCCCTAGAAAGAGTATGCTTCCCATGACAAACTGTTGTCTTTCAGGGAGTTAAGACTACAGTGTTTCTTCCTTCTGCATGCAGGACAGCCGAGACAGACTGGGCTTATTGGCACCTCTCCTCCTTCTTGACCTCCTGCTAGTAGCTCACCTCCCGGTTCTCAAAAGGGTTGTAGATGTCAAGCGTGGCATACTGCGGGCTGGGTCGGTGCTGGATCACAGCTGGGTCCTGAGGGCAAAGATGTGAGCTCAGCTGGTACTCGGTACCTCCGGGGAACTCCTAGGAAACCCTCCTAAACTGCCTGTGGCCCAAATATTGTGCCTTTGGAACCACGCCGTAGTACCAACATTTGCTTCAAGTCCATCATTTCACATTGCCAGCATCTGTTCCTTTCAAGGCTTCCCTCCACCCTCCCCACCCCGACCCCTTGGCCGCTGGTCTGGAGTCACAGTAACCCCCACGTGGCAGCACTTCCCTGGATCAAATGTCACGAGTGGGAATAGTAGTTAGCCCGATCCTATAGAACCGGGAAGAATATGCCACACTGGCCAAAGGAGGCTGTCACAAGTCACCTGGAAAGGGTTGTCAAGCTCGCCGGACTCGGCGAACGGATTCCCGCTGTCTGTGCTCTGAGCCATGTTTGCAACTGAGGTCTTGTCCGCCCCCTCCCCTCCACGCCCCTGCCGCGGCAGTGGACTTCAGCGCTCACTCTGCAGCAACCGAACGGCCTGGTGTCTGTGAGCACCGATTGGCTGAACTGACCGGAAGTTTCAAGGATTCCTTGCAGCGGAAGCGGGTCGCGCCTGCGCTGTTCGTCAACAGCAAAGACGGACGTGCACCACGTGACACTTCCAACTCAATCACTACCAAACTCCCCAAGTACATGTGACTTCCCAAAAGGAACTACATTTCCCAGGTGGCCTCGCGCCAAAATCTTGTCCATCAGCTTCCCGAGATGTACGACGGGAACCTTCCGCACGGAGGCGGCAGCCTCAGGAGCCCAAGAGAAAGTTTTGTAACCTAGATTTGTGGCTCTATTCAAAGGGGTGGCTTAATAACTATAGTCAGAACTCTTCCAGATCAGATAAGTGTCACCTTCTAACCCCTCTCCATTTTAACTTGCAAGAAATGCTCACACCCTTCACTATCCTTCCAACACAATGTGAACAAACTGGTGGCCTGGCTCTAATTCTGGAGCTTAAGAGGGACTTCCTTCAGATCTAAACTCAGAAAGCCTACCAAACATTTCATCCCTCCACCCCAGAACCCCAAAACCTCAGATCCCAGGGATGGGGGTCAGATGAACCACATCATTTTATTTCACAAAGACTGTACAAAATTCCTTATAAAACATGGGGTAGACGCCACCTGGTTACCTCATTGTGCCCCCATTCAACTACATGTGAGGGGGCAGTCGAGGATGGGAAGAGTGTGGATGAATAGCATTATATACAAGGCAGGGGTTGAAGTGATAGTTACAAGTTCTGTCATATTTACACTATTTCACATATTCACAGGTATATAGGGAGCCAGGAGGGAATGAGCTCTGGCTCTGTTTTCTTGTATAAAAAAGCACCAGTGTCCTGGACTGGGTACCCACTGCTGTAATAGATGCAGGGGGGCCCAGGGCCTGATCGTCACCGACTGATATCCCGACTGGAATCCCACAACTTGGTGTTGGGTGGCTCAGTCCGTAGGCGGGCGAAGAAAGGATGCTGAAGGGCTTCGCCTAAGGTCAGCCGCTTAGCAGGTTCATACTCTAACATACTTTCAATCAGATCGAAGAGCTGGTGGTGTTCCTCTGCCTCTGAGGTCAGATACCGCTGGTGGAGGAGGCAGGAAAAAGGTAAGGCAGGATGCCTTACAAATCTTGCCTCCTTCTTCAAAGCCCTAACTTTCAATCTTGGAGAAGGAACCATGGCTCTGCTTGCAACCAATTTGAATACTACCTTACCATGACCACATCATGACCAATGTTTCTAATATTACAGCTCAACCTACCTTCCTAATAGCACAATTACTCCTTCATACTCTGAAAATTCTACTTGTATATCCTTGTCAACTTCATGAATCTTCTTTAGCGCCTCATTAAAATGTAAGCTCTTCAAAGGTAGTTTATTCTTTTCTGTCTGACCTAAAGAATCCAGGATATTGCTTTGATCTCTGGTTGCTTCAAGGTTAGCCTGTCTAACTTCCTTCCCTCTACAAAACCATTCCCTCTTATCTGTCCTTTATTAACCAAAGATGTCTTCTTTTAGTTTTCCTCCTTTCTTTTCCTAACCCTCGGTTTGTGGAGTGCATTCCAAGGGCAAACCACCTTAAAAAATTGACCTCTGGGTGGTGGGCACTATTAATCCCCAGACTGGCTCACCCGTAGTGGTTTGCAGTTCTCACGAACGTAGCGCCCAGCTGAAGTGTTCTCATCCCAATCCAGGCGACCCCGGTAAAAATATTTCTGCTTTCTAGAGGGGAAGGGAAGGTTGAGGAATCAACCTTCAACAAGGCTCCCCTTGTTGTAGGATACTTCCCTTATTTCCCCATGTGAAAATTACTGAGGGGAGGAAAGGTGTAAAGAAAATTGATGTAAAATAGATCAATTCTGTGCAAAGAAAAAGGAAACAGTTAAATCCTTCCTACTCAAGGTTCACCTTGTCTTTCGAATCATCCGAGAAGGTATGGGACCCAGGATCCTTTCCATCATGGCTAGATGTTCTCTGTTGTCATGAGTCTGGAAAACAAAGACAGATCTAAGTATGGGACAGAACTGAGGAGGGGATGATGAGGACTAGCTGCCAGATGGACAGAGGAATGAACACGCATGTCCTCAGCAGTCAATACAGAAACTAGATAGGAGAATGCCAGGTGCGCAAGGAAGAGCCCCACCACTTACCTGGAAGAGGGTGAAGCCAACATAGTACTCAAAGATGATGCAGCCTATGCTCCACACATCACAAGGCTGAGACCAGCCCAACTCTGGGTGGGAATGGGAGAGACAGGGTTATAAGGCTTAGGGTGTACTGCCCTCACAGCACTTTACACACTTGAACACCCCTGCCCTCCCTTACCAAGGATGACTTCTGGTGCTCGGTAATGACGAGTGGAGACAATGGTGCTATGATGCTCATGGTCAAAGGTGGCACTGCCAAAGTCTACCACCCGAACAGCTGTGCTCTTCACACTGCGCTCATCTCGCTTCTAAGAGCCCAAGCAGAGAGGGAATGAACCTCTGCATTGCAGACTGAGATTCTACCACTTTTCTTTAAGGTACACAGGCTTAAAAAAGCAACCATGGCCTATTCTCACAGCCTCAGGAAATTCTCAAAATCTACTCACTTCTAGGGGTATGGTTCAAATGGTAGAGTGCTTACAAGGCCTGAGTTTACTCTCCCCAACCCCCCAAAAAAGTATAAATGCCTGTAGTCCTAGCTACTCAAGAGGCAGCGATCAGGAGGACTGCAAGTTGAGGCCAGCCCAGGCAAAAAGTTCATGAGACCTTATCTCGAAAAAACCCAACTCAAAAAAGGGCCGGTGGAGTTGCTCAAAGTGCAGGCCCTGAGTTCAAGCCCCAGTGCCACAAGAAAAAAAAAAAAAGGATTGGTAGAGTCAATCAAGTAACAGAGTACCTGCCCAGCAAGCACGAGACCCTGAGTTCAAACCCCAGTGTGACCAAAGAAAAAAGGGAATAATTATGGAACAGGCTGCAAGTCTCTATATATCGGAAGACTACACTCAAGTAACTAGTGTACTGTTTTTCTGAAAATATGTAACATGTACAGGGTCAGGAGAGGGGAGAGCATCTTTAGCTCTGCAATCTCCAGTTAAGTCAAGCATGCTGAATTATCCTACATCACAGATTTATACATCTTTAGAAAAAAGGGAGTGGATGCATTTCCACTCCATTGAGAATTTTCCAAATTGTCCTTTAAGTCTTCTTAAATATTTTCCTTTCAATCCATTCCAATATTCTGCTTTTACCCAGCTGGAGCCAGACAGGGAAAAAAAATTAGAAAAATGAAGTAAAAGGACCAGGTGCTGGTAGCTCACACCTGTAATCCTACCTACTAGGGAGGCAAGAGATCAGGATCATGGTTCAAAGCCAGCCCAGGGAAACAGTTCAACAGACCCAATCTTAAAAATATCCAAGGCAAAAAAGGGCTGGTGGAGTAGCTCAAGTGGAAGAAAGCCTACCTCGCAAGTGTAAGGCCCTGAGTTCAAACCCCAGTACTGCCAAATAAAATTAAAAAACAGAAACAAGGACAGAAGGGACTAAGCAAAAGGCACGTGGCCCAGCTGCCTGCTCCCATGGGCTAAGGGGCAGACCCTTGGCAGACTCTTACCTTCTCTAGGTTGTAGGTAAGCTCGTAGTCTGAATTCACAAAGAGAATGTTTTCAGGTTTGAGGTCCGTATGTGTCAACTTGTTATCATGGAGGACTGCAGGGGAGAAGGCCAGGTCAGGCTTGGTTCAGGTAGCCAGAGCAAACTGGCACCAGCTGACCCCAAGGTGAACATCCAGAGCAAAGCTGCTGAGTTGGAAGGTCCAGAATCACTGGGGCTGCTTTCTGCTCTACAACTTAATGAAATGCCTAGTCTAAGAAGCCCTACCCTTGCTAATGTTAATATATGTAATATATGTATGTATCTCAACTGAGGGAAAAAGAAGTGTGTTCTAGGTGGTAGTTTTGTTATTTCATACTGACTGTGACATGTGCATATCTAACATTCTTTTAACTCAATTCTGTGAAACTGCACTGCTCTGAAGATTCAGAGGAACTATGTATTTGTCTGGATTCTCTACCTGGTCCCTTAGCTGAACCATTTATTCATGTACCCTAACTGCTTTGCTATGAATAAAGAGCAACTAATCTCAGACAAATGTAAACCTCTAGTCAGAAGGTATTTTTGTCTCTTTGTGTTTGCTGGCTAATGCTTGACCAAGCCAAAGGGAAGGAAAAAGAAGGTAAAAAGTGTCTTGATTTCAATAGCTGTTTCTCCCAGCTAGACTGGTTGTGGAATAAGAGCAATCAGTGATGGTGAAAAATCAGTCAAGGAATTAAGTCAGAAAAAGAAATGCCAAAATGGACAGTAAGTAAAAGATCTGTGGGGAAGTTGACTAGAATACAAGTGGCTAGAAGAGGTCCAATGGAGGGAGGGGCTGCCCCAGAGTCCACCTTGACCCACCCCACTCACACTTGACAGCCTGGCACAGCTGGAAGGCCATGTGACGCACTTGGTGGATGGGGTAGGGCAGGTAGTTGTTGTCTTTGAGGAAATCGAAGGTGCTAAGGCCCAGAAGCTCAAAGGAGATACACATGTGGCCATGGTAGTCAAACCAGTCAAACATCTGGACACAGAGGCTGGGGAGAGATAGGAGGGAAGGGGGATGTCTGATGAGCCCCCAACTGCCCACCACCCCTCCAAAAGGAGGGACTGAATAGCTGTTGATTCTACATACTTGTGTAAAAACATGCCAATATTATTAATAAAATTCAGTTCAACTAGAGATTGGCTTCTCCAGAAGACTCAAGAGAGATATTACTTGCCAAACTTTCAAACATTTTTCTGCAGCATTTTAAATAGTTTGAAAACTATTTGCCAAGCTGGGAGTGGTGGTTCACCTCCACAATCCCAGCATTTGGGAGGCTGAGGCAGGAGGACTGCAAATTCAAGGCTAGTCTGGACTACATAAGTGAGATAGTGAGCTCCAAGCCAGCTTGAGCTAT